ATCCGGGTCTAAATATGCATCTTAATGAAATGGTGGAATCCAGAAGAGGCAAACAGGATGCCATTTTGAAAGCTGCTGCATGTCCATGACTTATGTTGCAATGCAACAACTAATGAAGAATTCTTACAAGCCCCAGTCAACATCTAATCCAATCCACCTGATGCTAATTCTTTACTTGCAGAGAGTTTTCCTAGTGAAGCATGAAAGGAGGATTTAATTAGGCTATAGTTGTGTTAAAATGAAGAATAAGGCCATTCTGTTTAATGACCAGCTTCATTTTGGCTTTCCTCTCCTTGAATCGTTTTGATTACCGAAGGACACTATGACTTTGTCTGCATAACATGCTTTCTGGCTACCCAATGAACTAATTTGATAAGTTCAACACAGACCGCAATCCACCTAGACTCGGTGTGCACAACACAAAAAACCAAAAAGCAATTGTTGATCAACATGTTGTAAGAACCCAGCAAAGAAAAACTCCCATATCACTTTATAGATTGGTGCCTGAGTTTGCTTATTTTAATTTTCCTCTTGTATTGTGACTTTTCAGTTGTAAATTGACAGTGAAGGATTGTTCTTGTTTTTACTGATCCCATATAAGCCATTTTGGGATCCTTTTTCAGTAAATAGCAACCTAAGAAATGCCTAAAATTAATTGATTAATTAATCAGTTACTATTCAGGGAACTTTCCTGTGACACTGTTATTTACAGCCTTTAGGAACATTGCCTTGTCCACTGAAGTACTTGCCTCCTCTTCTAAAGCAGTCAGATCTTGCCTACTGTACAAGGTTTTGGATGACCACGGGATGGCAGCAAAGGCAAAGAGACAAATCATGCTCCTTGCTGCCATCTAGTGATTATCTCCATTTTTGCAGCTCAGATCTGGTAGGCCTGTCCTGTGCAAATGTTAAGTTTGGCTCCCAGTTCCCAGAAGGTTATCTTTTGCAGAACTAAGACATAAGTCCAGTCAAATACTAGATACTATGATCCAAGTCCTTCCTTCAGAAACAGAGTCTGAGAAAAGATATATTGATTCTCATCTGAGTACAAGATCTCCCAAATCCAATACTTTTAACCACTGGCTTGGAATTCTTCAGAAATGCACCACCCGTATTTTTCTGCTGGATGTGTTTCAAAGTTCCGGCTTTTATGCAGATTAAGAAAAGAGAAGAGCAGTGAAGTGACACTGTTACATAATATATTAGCAAAATTATCTACAGGATGGCTATTCTGCAAATTTTCAGGAGGCATCAGCAGCTGTTTGCAAACAAATGGGGAGAAGAGAAATTAGCTTGACCTTGCATTTATTGCTTAGTTTTTGTCTACTCAGCTCTAAACATATATATATATATATATATTCATTCCAATCCCTGTAAACAAATTACAGCCTGAGTCAAAATAATAACATACCACTTTAACAACAGCCGTTCATTCAAGAGCAGTCAATTTGCGGTATTGATGGAGAACTATTTTGCAGAATGGGAGACATCCAGCAAACCTTGGTTATTCCACATACCCTTAGCAATGGGAAGATATCTGCCTAGCAGTTGCCAAGGGAACCTCTTTATGTTAAGTGATGCTATTTACCTTGCTCTACTTCATGGGTAATATGGCTAAGAGCATCTAGTAGTATGAAATGAAAAAAACAAGGGAATACGTACAGATGTTTGAAGTTCATGTTTGCTTTAAACAACGGAGAAATATGTAAATGGGGGATTGCAGGCCCAGCTTTGTACTAGATTATTTGTTAAATATGTAGCAGAAAGAAGGAGATGAGCAAATGGGAACCTTTGAACTTCCCTTCTGAGCCCTGCAGAGTCCTCCAAAGTATACTCCCCCCAGAGTCACCCATTGGGGGGAGATGGGCGGCATACACATTAATTAATTAAATAAATAAATAAATAAATAAATAAATAAATAAATACTCTCAAAACTGGTGTGTTGCTTTCTACTTAGGGCTTGCTGTGAGAACATCCAAGCTTGTTCTTTTCAAGAGCTATGCAAACACATTTTTTGGTCCAGTGCAACAAATAAGGTTTTGAAAATGCAAGTAGCTAAAAAATGGGACAATAAAGTACATGTATGGAAAGACAGACATAGAGATGTGTCAAAAGCAGGGAAGACAAACAAAAAGTCAGTGGCCAAGGCAATTAAGGCCAAATAATAGACCTTGATCCAAATAAGAAAATTAAACAATGGATACTTCAAAGATCAGATCAGCAAGCTTGGGAGCTAGCTAGATCTACTTGTCTCGATCTATGCTGTATTACTCATTCCCCAAACATAAAAAATGAGAATGACCTGATCAGTTGAGATGTTTGCCTCATGCACTATTGATTTTGCTTCATCCAACTTCAGAATGAGGCCCCCAGAAGATTATTCCTGAGAGAATGTGACCTGCAAGGAAGATAGGACCCTCTTGTTCTACTTGAATATCTATAAATAATGGAAATATCCAATATGCAGGTCTTGTTAAAGGCCATAAGTCTCCAGTTTTTCTGCTAAAAGAAAGTAAAGTTGTATATTCCTGTCTCTTACTACAGGTAGTCCTCCAGTTATGACCATCGGTTTAGCAATCTTTCAAAGTTACAATGGCACTGCACAAAGGAACTTGCAACAGGTCCTCAGAGTTCCGGCTGTTGCAGAATCCTGCAGTCACATGATTATGATTTCTGACATTCCCTGCCAGCTTCCTGCAAGCAAAGTCAATGGGGAAGCTGGCAGGAAGTCAGAAGTCACGGTCATGTGAGATCCTCACATAATGACCTGCATAATCCTCACTTAATGACAGCAACTGCAACTGCTGGAACTGCCATATCTAAGCAACGTGATCACACAATGTCACGCTTTATGACTGCATTGCTTGGCAATGGCAATTCTGGTTCCAACTGCCATCGTAACCCGAGGACTACCTGTACTTGGGAAATACACTTTGTGATTGAATTGAGCACTGAATGAATGTTTATATTTATGCTGTTTAAACCAGGGTGTGTTCCTCCTGACAATATTCCCTCTCTTTATTGTTGTTGTTAAAAAGTGTTCTCTTGTTAACTCACACCATTGGATTTGCACACAATCTCTTACAATTATGAGTTGGTACCCACTCTCTAGCCATAAATCGTTATTTAAAACCATATTGTAATAAAAATTGGTATTTTCACACCGGGATGTCTTTGATACTATATGGCTACAGTAAAAACCATTTTCAGATTCTTATAAAGAAGAGACCCATCTCTTGCCCCAAAAGAACAATGGAACAGTCAACTCTGCTTTACCAGCCAGAACATTCTAAAAAATCTATTTGAGGTATCAAATGCTGGTTTCCATTCTGTGACTGCAACAGTGTCCCATCTACTCTGTATCATCTTCTTTGGAAAAAATCTCAAAATCTTAAAGTCTAATGGAAAAGAAGCATCCAACAGGAATTGCACTCGTTGAATTTATCTATAAACATGCATGATTTGCATCATTAATGTGTCTTTCTCCACGCGATATCCATTAGCCAATGCCATTAAAAAAAAAAAAAAACTTGTAAATTGACCAGATCTCACCTATCTTGCCTTTTTCAGCCCAAGGTTTCACTGCAGTTTGCATGAGATTTCAGGTTTTTTTAAAAAAAAACATTAAAAATTATTCCAAATCCAATTACATTTGGAGGAGATGCAGGTATAATTGGAGGAAGAAATGAACATTGTAAAGTCTATAGATGCCATGATACCAATCCATTTTTTCATATTTTATAACGATCCAATGAGAATATTCATATGCTTTAATTCTGAAAAATTGCAGTCTTGTAGACGAGCCATTTTCCACTTGCATAGCATCTTGCTGGATCATCCCATCTGCATCAAACAGTATGCACATATGAAGGGGGGGGGGGGAAACACACAGGTTTTTATGTAAATGCTGATTTGCTTAAGATAGATGAGTTTTCCCTCCTCCAATTTCCTTCTGCATCTTCACAGCCTCTGGCAAGACAATCAAAACTTGGCTTCGACAACCTTAGCAATAAGGGCAAAAACTGTCAATCTTCCTTCCTTGCATAAACAAGGGCATAAAACAGGCTTCTCCACCATTTTATGTCTCGGCTTTTGCGGTGCACTTTTACACCACATTGTTGTCCTACATGCCTTCATTATGAAGAATGTGCCCTGACAGCAACACTGCTTGAAAATGAGGCAAATGCTGTCAGAATTGCCAAACATTGCTATTAATATACCAAGCAGGAAAGAGCCCACACATTTTGGATGTCATGTCTTCGTTCATTTCTGTGGTGGTGGGAGGAGATGAACCTGGATAATTGAAAAGAGAAAAATGTCATATTGTGACACTGAAGTGTCACGCTGTGGTCTACAGAAGCTGCCATGATGCATTATGAGAATGTACCGAATGCCGTAAAGCAATGTTGTCCAAACTTGGCCACTTTAAGATGAGTGGACTTCAACTCCCAGAATTCCCCAGCCAGCCATGAGTTGAAGTCCACTCATCTTAAAGTGGCCAGTTTGGACAACACTGCTATAAAGAGTTTGGAAAGGAAGCCCAAGCCATGGAATGCTGAAAAATGATGCCGTTCATGTCGGAAATCAAGGGTGTGCATGCAGGGGCTGACAGAAAATGCAGAATAACATTCTACCAACCAGCGTGATTTCAACTCCCATGATCCTGAGGCATAAAGGGCAGGGATGATGGGAGCTGTGGTCCAACGTATTCTGGTGATAAGATGGCAAAGTCTTACTTCTGGAAGTTGCAGGGATGGAGGAAGGTGGTTCTGAGGCTAAAGGGAGGCAAGAAATCTTAGAAGTGTTTTAAAGAATGTAAACTTCATTGAAGAGGCTGAAGGATAAGGGGTAGAGGAACACTGTTGAAGTACCTCAACTGAGAAGCAGTAAGGTTCATTATTTTTGGATGCTCTTTTCTGGTGACTTCGGTGCTTTGACTTCAATATGACTTCAAAGCAAGTACAAGCAGTGATGAAAGAACCAGAGGCAAACAGGCTGTATCAAATCAAACCAAGTCATTTATTATAACCATAAGGCCAGAAAACAGCAAGATAAAGCCTACTGTATACATATAGTGTATATACATACAGTATGTATGTGTATGTGTGTGTGTGTATCAGTCTACCAGAAGTAAATATAAATATAAAATATATAAGAAAGAATAAAAATGAAATATGACTACAAGAAAAAGAGGACAATAATGGTAAAATAAGGTAACATATAATAGAAGTAAGTAGATGAAAGTTAAAATCTTCAGTTATAAATAAGGTGAATAGAACAGAACAAGGCACAAAACTGGACAATCTGGGAGATATACTTGATTTCTTATCAGACACAAGGAGGAACAAATAAAAGTTGTGTTCTCTGCCTGAAGGTTTCTTCAGGCTGGGGTAGATGAGGATCATCCAAGAGCTTTTGTAAAGGGAACACCAAAGGAGCAATAAAGGCTGAGACTTTAGTGAAGCCTCCCTATGGGCTGCTTCCTCAATGTAGCCATCCAAACGGCAAGATTGTCTACCTCAAGGGACGTCTGCCAGCCCAATCGCCATGTCGAAAGGCTAATTTCAGCACTGCTCTTGGGATGCTTGGGGATGAATGCATTTATACATTTACAGTCTTTACATGACTGCCAAATTGGGAGCCAGTATTTTGATGTGGAAGAACAGATGGCAAATCCAGATGGTTGTCCACGGTTAGATCAGTTGTGTATCACATGTGTAAAGGAGATTATTCAAATGCGATTTGAATGTGTATAGCTTTACGGTATGGCTTTAAATATTGTTGTTTTGTATTCTTACATTAGTTCAGGGAACTGCTCCATGACTATTATCAATGAAGTAATTCACCCGCATGTGTGTAGCCCTAGTATAACCAGCTGAAACACTTGCATGTGGTAAGCTTGTAAAAAATAAAGTTTATTTCAATTTCATGTGCAAAAAATGCCAGTTGTTGTTGATGTTCTTATCACATGTTCGATACCATTTCTCTCAGTGACGGTTTGGGAAGATTAGGGAAGTTCTGGAAAAAAAAAAAATTCAATGAAACAAAATAGTATGAATATATTTATCTTTGTCAGATTAAAAAAAAAACCCTTAGAATACCATTTAAAAAACAAACATGTGGCAAACATACCCAATCTCTCATGGTACATTTTAAGATGGACTCTAGACAGATGTCCCATTATTTGTTCCATATTTCCTACAGAAGAGTCCTGTTCCGATTCTTAATAAACTTATGTGCTGCTAAAAAGTCTGTGAAGATTAGTTCATATTATACAATTGCATGATGGATGAATAATGGATGGTGAATCACAAAAACTGTTTTGTCACTCTCAACTATTAAAAACATGGGTATTCATTTTTATCATTTACAAAGAATTTACCCATACTTTCCATCCAGAAATCTCCCTGGAAGCTTCACTGAATAAATGAAATGGAACAGTAATTGAAGTGTGAGATGCTCGCTAAAAGATTGAAAAAGATGAACTTAAGTAACAGCCCAAGATTAGCTGTGAGGCCCGTTATTTTGTATGAAGGGCTAATCTTGGACTGACTTTTTTTTTTTTTTAATCCTTTGTTAAATATCAGCATCAGCATAGCTTATTTATTGTCTGATTGATTGATTGATTTCTAGGCTGCTCCCTCATCAAACAATTCTCAGCAGGTTTCAAGGAATTAAAACCATCAACATTACAAAGAGCGAAATACAAAACCCACATACAAAACTTTGCACCTGGAGCAAACCAACTCTAATTACACACTATTGGACAGGTTCATTCTGTCCTGGTCCCCGAGGGAAGAACCAGGCTTTCGAGGCCCTCCTGGAAGCCTGCAGGTTTTGGGCCAGCCATCCAGATCTTAGGAGAGATGCTGTTCCAAAGGGCAGGCACAGCAACAGAAAGGCATATGTCTCTATTGATGAGACCCAGAACACGTCAACCTTGTCAGATCTAGTAGGGTAGGCAGATCTAAGTAGGGTAGGCAGAGACAATTGGAAGAAGTCTAAAAATATGTAGGCTTTGTGCCACATAGGACTTTATAGGTGATCACCAGACCTATTGCTAACCAGTTCAGTTCATATAGTAGAGGTGTCACACAGGCATAATGAAGTCTGCCCATAACTCTTCACCCCACTGCATTCTGGCCCAGGTCTCGCTTTCAAGTGGCCTTCAAAGGCAGCTCATATAGAGCAATTATAGTAATCTAGGTGAGAGTACACTAAGGTATGAGTGACTTTAGCTGGGCAACACTATATGGCATAAGTAGTTGAAGGATTCCTTTAGCTGAACCCTTGACCTATTGTGGTTCCAAATCTAGCATTTCTTCTTCATTCCCAGAATCAGGATGTCACCAAAAAGGACACATAGGACTTACAATAAAATGTTGCAATGTGCTAGTACTTCTTTCAACCCCATCATCTCCAGGTAGGGCTGGAAAAAAAGCAGAGAGCTAGTCAGTCAGTATTGAGAATAATGGCCTAGATCAGGAACATACAATTCCTTTGGCCATTGAGTGCATACCAAGGGCCACATTCTTAAAAGTGTGCAAGGATACAATAGAAGTAATTTCATTTCAATTCAGTTACTTAAATACAGGTCATATGAGTACACCTCATGGATAAAATCTGCATTAATAACTTGGGCACATTAAAATTACAGTTCAGTAGCACTTTTTGGAAATTTTGAAGGCTGCATCCAAGGCTTTGGAGACTTCAAATATTTTCTTGAGCTAGTTATACCCATGATTTGACTCAATATAAAGCAACTCCTTATGTTCCTGTGAGTGTTTCCATTCAGACAACCACACTGGCTAGAAATTCTGGGAGCTATCATTGTTGTATATTTGATGAGAATCAAGTTGAAGGAAAGCTAGTTTAATCTCTGTGTTACATAACTACCAGATGCCTATAACAATTGTTTTTAATTGTCTAAAGAGGTGCCAAGACTAGAGTCCTCAATTTTCACACAGCAGTAATCAATCAGTAGGTGACAGACTGTCTTTTAACACAATACGCACTCAGAGGGAAGAAAAACACACTCTCTTGACCATGACCATCTAAAGCCTGCAAGAGTCTTGCTTGCTGTGAATCAATCAAAGTCTATATCTGCATGTTTAAACAACCAGGATTTGCACACAAAATTGTTCCCACTGCTTGGCAGACTCAGAGGGAAAATTCGTATGTTTCTCTGCAGCTATAGTTGAAGAAGCTCTAATTTTGTAAAAACACATCTAGGAGCCCTTGCTGTCCACTTATTTCAGAATGCATTTTTAAAAGGTATTGTATTTATTTATTTGGTTTATATGCTGCCTTTTTTCAGGAGCTCAAGGCAGCACACACAGTGCTTCTTCCTTCTCTTTTCCCCCACAACTACAATAACAACAACTCAGTGAACTGTTGAATTTGTTCAGACTGAACATCATGCATCAATGGCTGGGTGAAAATTCAAAGCAGGGTTCACTTGTCACAAGCAAGCTTAAGATGAGCATTGGCCATCTTGTGCAAACTGTTGCTTCAGTTGTGTTTCCCTCTCTAACCTTGGACCAACTGCTGTGTCTCTCTTCTGAGGACAAAAAAGTTCAGATAAGAGATGCTGAAGACTCTAATAAAGCAGGCAATCTCATGAGAGGGAGCGGGGAGGGAGGGAGACTTTTTTGCAGATGTTTGTAAACCTCAGTATTGATCTCCTACACCTGGAAAACCCCAACTAATACACACACACACATAATCAATCAATCAATCAATCAATCAATCAAACCTGGGCTACTGTAATCCCAAGAAATCCTTAAATGGCAAAGTGTTGGAGGAGAAAGTAGTTATTCCACTTGGCTTGGCCTGCATTCTTTGAACCAATTACATGTCGTAAGGTATCTCATCACCAATCTTACCATCTTCCATATATGGTATTGGTGGAAACTGGCGTCTTGTCCTTGGCTCAGGCAGTAGAATTTGGCCATCCCTGATTGGGAAATTAATTCCTGAAGAGAAACAGTCATAACACACCCTTTTCTTGACCAGGGCAAAGTAGAAAGCTAGGTCAAATAGGAAGCTGACCACTGATCACAAGGACTGATGTAATTTTGCATAACTGTTTCAAGGCAGTAAAATCAACAAGGAACCCCTCACCAAGACAACCTGAAACCTAATACCTGACTTAAAACATAAGACTGACATTAAAAAAAATGTATAACATTTTGTGAGGATTTACCTTTAAGGATGAAAGGACAGCCTTTCAGAGAAATGGGCTAAAATGGCCCAGTATGATTGAAATGTTTTGATTTTCTCAGGCAAGGTTTTACATTTTTCAGGATTTGCCCTCCCCATTCCAGCAATGTTCAGAGTATCATCCGTGTGATATCTCTGAGTTAGAGTATCCTCTCTATGTCTTATGATCTAAAGAAGAAGGACATATTTGACAATTAAGTCCAGACTATATGGTTAACTGCACCACATATTTCAAGAATATGTGATCTGTAGTATCTTCCTAGTCTAGGTTCAAGTCATATCCCATCTCATCCCTGGTTCAAGCCTTGACATTGTTTTAGTGTCCTCCCTATATATCCATACAATTGATGAAACCATCAAATCTCAGACATCCTCTCCAGATTACTATTTTCCCTTTGGTAACTAATATATGTCTATTTTTTAGATTGTGAGTGTCTCAGAACAAAGACCACATTTTTAGTCAATTACAACTGGGCAAAGCATTAGAAAGGGACACTTCACACCTAGCAGATGGCAGAGAAGCATCCCTTATCAGAGTGTTAAAACTCCTTTATCCTCTGGTAGGCTCACTGTAGCGTCTTCAAAGATTTTCCCCATCTATTCTCATGGATGTGTGCACAGCTTCATTGGTGGTCCCACACACATGTCCAGACAGCCATGGAAAATTTTTGAAACAGCTACATTGAGACTTCCAGAGGATATAGCTGCTTTAATGCTATAATGATGTTTTGCTCAAGCAAGAAACTTTGCAAAAGATCCCCTTCAAATGCTTTGCAGTCTTCATGTTAACCCATAAAAGATCATGCTCCCCAGTCTTATATCATTAATAATTACTATTAATATAAATTCATTTCAATTTTTTAAAAATGTTGATTTCCCTATTCTGATATGCTACAGACATGTTGGATTTCAACTCTTATAAATCCCAGACAGTATGGTTAACAATCACGCTGTATGAAAATTATGGGAACTGAAAAAGAATATTTTTGGAGAGGAAGGTTTTTCTAGATAAAGAATATTGCTAACTTTGCTACTACTACTGTGACATGCATGAAATTATACCAGTAAATAAATATGTTGCTTATTGTTGGGTTCTTTCTTTATCTGTGAATCTCTTCTGGAGCGCTTCTGGATAAATCTGGACTTAGATTTACTCATCACCCTCAGATTTCTGTTTGGGGAGTTGACCTTTTAACGATAATATCGACCTCTAAAATTCCCTTCTCTTGGAAAGGAATACTATATGATCTCACATATAAGGGGAATTCTATGGCAATCCTCCAAAAAATTCCCCAGCTCCAATATCTTGACTGTTGTAAAGGAAGAAAAGCAGGTTCTTCTGCATCCTACCACAGCAACCGAATGGTAAGATATACATTTAATAACTAAATAAACAATGGCATGAAGTGGAATGGAGTAGAAAAGATGGAGGATAAAGATAGAAAAGTTTATTTTATACTCTGTGGGGGGTGGCAATAAAACAGAGATGATAATAATAATAGAAATAAATATGTAATAGGGATTTGATGTAATTTTGTTATTTTTAATTTTAAAATGTAATTTAATTTTTTGTAATTTAAAATAATGCAAGAAGCAATTAGAAATGAGCTTGAAGAAAAATTAAATAGTGATTATCTAATTATTAGCATGTATAAATTTGAGGGATTTTTTTCATTTTCCTTGGGAGTAGTCTGTTCTGGAAACGTATTTAATTTCATAGTTTTAAAATTAGCTTAGAGACTTGTCCTATGCTTCACCCTGAAAGTTGGGTGACAACCACTTTTAAAGGATATTTTGTCTTTCCTTCCTTCCTTCCTTCCTTCCTTCCTTCCTTCCTTCCTTCCTTCCTTCCTTC